AGTCATGGAAAAGGCCAACCCAAAAGGTACTTCAGAGGAGAGATGACATTAGTATCTCACACATCGGACAGGGAGTGCAGGGGCCATGGGGCTGGTCTGGGGAAGGGCTGCCTTCTCAAGACAAGGAGTTGAGCAAAGTGAGAGAGAGACATCCCTCACCAGCTTTCCGTTTGCTGGTTGCTCCGAGGTCCCCCTCAATGTGCATAACATGGGCTCAGCCCTGCTCACTGGCACTTGGCCATGGAAACCCCAACAGAGCAGTTAACCATAATAAAGTTTGCCACCTCTTCCCTAGCATCCAGGGCCATAGCCAGGGGCCACCTGCCACACCGGAGATGGAACCTGTGTTAAAGGAAATGCTATTTCTCCTTCCACATTTTACACGGACATTTTCACCTTCTAACATTCACAGCCAACCCTTCCACACCTCCTCTGTCTGGTTGCCCTGGCAGACCCCTGGACACATGTCATGAAATACTCTCTCCCTCCATATTCTTCAATGACTCAGATCCCCTAAGTCCCCCTATTTGCCATGCTCCACCTTCCTAGTCGACGGCTCAGCCCCAGGCCTCTTCACAACATCAAACCCCTGACCTGGCATTCTAGTTCTGAGCCTGCCTCTTCCACCTTCCTCTCAGTACTCTGCCCCAGCTCTCACACTCTGACCCACCTTGATGGTGAGCCCAGGCCCATCCTATCCCACCCCAACTCCTTCTTAGCTCAGATTCCCTTGTTTAATTGCTGTCTGTCTCCCTAATTAGAATGTAAGTTCTAAGAGGGCTGGCACTTTCTCTGTCCCAGTCGCCTCTGAGTCATCAGAACTTAGCACAGTGGATGGCACATCCTTGTTAAAAGAATGACCAGATGACTGAGTCATGTTTACATCTAAGGAATGATAAGGGGCATCTTTCTCCCTATATTTTAAACATACACCCATTGCATTAAAAAAAAAGTCCTTGTCTATTAATTCAATCATCTGTGTCATTCCTCGGTCTGTTTCTAATTCTTTCGATTGGTTTTTCTCCTACAGGCCATATTTTCCTGCCTCTTTGAATGCTTGGTAATTTTTTTACTGGGTGCCACTTCTACATTGTTATGTGTTAGGTTTCTTTTTTTATTCCTTTAAATATTTTTTTAAAAAAGATTTATTTATTTGAGATAGAGAGAGAGCAAGAGAGAGAGAGTGCATGATTGGGGGGCGGGCAGAGGGAGAGGGAGAGAGAAGCTTTAGCAGACTCCTTCCTTCCTCACTGAGCTTGGAGCCCGACATGGGGCTTGATCTCACAACTCTGAGATCATGACCTGAGCTGAATCCAAGAGTCAGAGACTTAACCGACTGTGCCACCCAGGGATCCTTTACATATTCTTGAGCTTTGTTTGGAAACTTACTGAAAACAGTTTGCCTCTCTTGAGGCTTACTTTTTAGATTGTGTTAGGCAGAACCAGAAGAGCTTTGATCTATGGCTAATTTGGCCCCACTTCCATGGCAGTACCTTTACGTGATTTCTGTTCAATGACTCTTTTGTGAGAAGGTTTCTCCACTGTGGCTTTGGGAGCATGAACTATTCCCAACCCTGTGTTATTTCTGGAGATGGTTCCACTTGCTCCTTTCTGGTGGTTCTTTCCCCAGCCCTGCGTGATTTCCTCCCCACCATGCACTGCCCAGCTGTGAGCTGAAGACTTGAGAGTCTCCACAGTGCCCTCTGGAGATCGTCGGAGTCTGTCCGCTCTGTCTGTCTGCGGCTTTCTCATCCCTTGTCCTTCACCTTGCCAGTGGAAGCCACCTTGGCCTCCCTGGACCCCTGGTACCAGCTCCTCGACTCAGGAAACCACCAGGCGCCCCATGGTGGCCTTCTCCTGGACTGAGGCCCAAGCCCTGCATGAAGTTAAGTGCTGCAATCTTGGGCTCACCTCGCTTGTTTCACTTCTCTTGGCGGTTGGTGTCCTGTACTGCCTTCTTCCATTGTTTTATACATTTTGTCTAGTTTTCAGTTATTTCAAGCAGGAGGGTAAATCAGGTCCCTGTCGCTCTTTCATGGTCATAAGTGGTGTCCTACTTTTTCATACACAGCTTACTCTCAAGTGCATTTCAGTAGGCAGCATGGAAGGAAAGAGTGAACTTTGAGAAATTCTGCATCTAGCCATCTACCCTTTCTGGGTTTCAATATCTGTATCTGTTAGCCATTGCTACAATTAATGCTCCCTAACAAATCACCCCAAGTCTCAATGCCTTATATGGGGTCTTTGGGTCAGCCAGTGTTCAGGTGATCTGGGCTGAGCTTGACAGGGAAGCTCTGCTCCAAGCTACAGGTCAGCTGGGCTTGGCTCCAGGCTATAGGCTGGGCTTAGATATGCTCTCTGTATGTTCTGGGATGGAGGCTGAAGGAGCAGCACCTATCCCAGGCATGTTCTTCTCAAGGCAGATCCCTGGAGTGCAAAGAGGCAAGCCCAAGCATGCAAGGCTTGCATCATGTCTGCTAACATCCCATGGAGCAGGGCAAGTCACAGGACCAAGACCAAATTCAAGACCAAATTTAAGGGGTAGGAAAGTATACCCTGCCACCATGAGGCCATGGCAAAGCTTTGGATGTATAATTTTATTACAGAGGGTAAAGTCTTAAGACTGGCTATTTGATCTACCACGGTTTCTCTGTCTGCTTCCTAAAAATCCCTTTTAGCAAGATCTGAGCAAGCCCTCCTCCTAACATCTAGACCACCCTCCTTCTCCTCACATCGCTGTCAAGTGAATAGCAGAGCAAATTGAATTCTAGTAGGGACTGAGCTGGAGTCACCGGCCAGGCTACTTTCCAGAAGATGTCTTGGAAAGCTCCAGTTTGGCCTGGAGTGAACTCAGATGCTCCACTGAGCTCAGGGTTGCTGGACAGTCTTTCCAGAGCCTTGCATCCATTTCTCCCCTTTTAGAGGCCAGTGAACTTTGGAGAAGATGCACTGTGCTCAAGCATGTGTCCATGTCCAAGGCCCAGCTTCCATTGAGAGGGGACCTTTGGAGAGGGGGCTCCCTCTCCAGTGGCTGCATACACTTTGTATATGACCCCCTGCAGGACACCATGACCCAGCTGTCTGTTTTTCTCTCTTCTTTTCTCTCTGCTCCGGGAGGTGGGTTCACACCCTGCGTGGGGCCATACCACACATCTCTGTCAATAAGGCCTTTGGATCCTGGAGATAAGTTCTCAGCAGGAGATCTAAAGTCAATAGACTCTGACCAGCTCTAGAGGGCTGAAGGCACTCAGGTGTGCTAGGTACACTGAGGCTGTCTCCGAGGGGTTTTGGCCAACTCTATGCTGCCTTCAGCATTCTTGAGAGCGTGTGTCTGTTTGCTACGTGTCGGCCCTGTGGACTTGGGGAGGTTTCTAGGATCAGGCTGGAAGGGCTCTGTTTGATCTTCCCGGGTTCTATAGACTTTATGGAGGATTTACTATGTGCCACAGAACCATGAGGGACTGGGTCGACCAGAGAGACTGGACTCTGCCTCGATCGGCCTCAGTCACAGAGCCAGAGTAAAGGCGTGGGACAGACATGAGCCCGAGAGTAGGAGATCTGGGTTCTGACTCTGCCACTCATTAATTGAAGGATTATTTATTCAGTACGAACTTGTGCTGGGAACACGGAGGTGAGCAAGACCTATAGGTCCTTGTTGTCATGGAGCTTTTAGTCTCGGGGAGGGGTGGCAGGCCATAAAAAAATAAGCAAATAAAGAAAGATAATATGTCACGTAGTGATGGGGAAAACGAGACAGAGAAATGGGGGTGGCTCTAGTTGGGAGGTTAGGGAAAGCCCCCTGAGGAGGGGACCCTTGCCACTAACTAGCTCTTAGAAGCCAGTCCCTCCTCTCTGTTTCTAATATTATCAATAGGGGTGTGGATTAGAGGGGCTCTATGGGCAGACTGGCTCTGAAATGTGATCATCTACCTTCTCCCACATGACCCTTTTACCCAGTCCTGGCAAGGGGAGAAATTAAGCCAATTATATGTATTTTCTCTCTGCTCTCTGTGGTGGCAGGTCCTGTATTTATAGGACAGAGATAGTGGGAGTGGTAGACAGACACTTTTATTCACTTAGCTTCATCGTGGTGCCATTCCTCTACCCACTCCACACCCCTCCCCACCTACAGCTGGCTTGGAACCTTGCTGACACTGCCCTTACACAGGCTAGGTGGAAGTTCTCTGCGGGCCTTCTGAGGGCTGGCCCACCCTCCTCTGGCTCTCTATCCTGCAGCCAGGCTCTGGAGTGCTGAAAAGGCTCACGGAGGGAAGCCCCCAGCAGCTCTGTTTCCTTGGTGGGTGTGGAAAGTTTTAGCCCCAATCCTTGCCCAAGTGGCTTCGTAAGGGTGTGAGGCCCCAGCTGCCCATACCGCCCCCTCTCAAACTCTCTGCAGGGCCCCCGGGAGCCATCTCCTGCTCTCAGGGTGCAGCGATGTCCTTGGACCCTGCTGGGTGGGTGGCTCCCTGGAAATACGGCTGATTCAGGTGCTGTCTATGGGTCATCCGGGCTATGAGGGTGACGGTGGAAGGTTTGGTTTGGGAGAGCAGGACTGGCTATCAAGACGCTTTGTATTCAGCTGCTTTATCTTGGGCTCTGACACCCCGTCCTGCCTGACTTGCCCCAGCTATTCCTGGGCTCCTACGCCTGGCTGGTAGTTAGCGAAAAATAATGGCTTATCATTCCTCCTGTATTCTACCAGCACGAGCTTCCCCTGCCACTACATTCTGATGGTACTGTTTCATAATATCCCGGGTTTGTAATCGACCATGGGAAGCAGCACCACAAAAGTGAGCAGAAGGTCCCACCCCTGGCACCCTGGCATTGTCTCCAGCACCTACAGCAAGGATGGCACCCTAAGCCCTAGCCCCAGCCTCACCGGCAGCCTTCAGGACACCATCCTTAAGGAAACACAACCCCTTCTATTGGAGCCAAAATCACTAGTTGCTCTCAGCCGACCGCAGATCATGTCCAAAGCCAGGGTGAGTGAGAAAAGGTGCCTTCCTTCATCCGTACTCTGTTCCTGCAGCCACAATGTATGGCTGGACACCTACTGAAAACCTGAAAGGAGATGGGATGTTCTTGGTTAGGCTGTGCATGGGGGGCACCAATTTCTCCCCGGATGGAAGGGCGCGGGGCACAGGGAGGAGGCTGCAAGCCACTCCCCTCGGCTCTGGGGTGGTGCGCCTCCCAGTACCCCGACTTCCAGGGGCACCCTTTATTCCCCCAGCTCTGCAGGACACAAGCAGGGGGAGTGGGAGAGGGAGAAGCAGGCTTCCTGCCGAGCAGGGAGCCTGATGCGGGGCTTGATCCCAGGACCCTGGGATCAGGACCTGAGCCAAAGGCAGATGCTTAACGACTGAGCTCCCCAGGTGTCCCCCCAGGATGGCTCTTTCTGACCCCATGGCTGGACACAGAGAAGGGTTCTCTGGACTAAGAACCAGGGCCCCTGAGTTCTAGCCAGGACAGTCCCCAACCCGTGGTGTGGCTGGGCAAATCATGTTCGTTCTCTGGGCCTCCTTCCAAACATCCAGATCCATGGAGCAGATGAGGTACCCGGAAGAAGAAAGGTAACTAGCATGGCTCCTTGCTTCTCAAAGTGTGAGTCAACAGCCCTGGCATCCCTAGGAAGCTTGTTAAGAAGTGCAGAATCTTGACCCCCAACCCAGACTTCCTGGACCAGAATCTACGTTTTAACAAAACCCCTACATTTACTGGCACATTAACGTGTGAGAAGAAGTGGTGTGAGTGACAAGCAGTTAATTTGCTTAAAGTCTGGCTATCATAATAGGAGCCAGAGGGCCCCACAGACACAGACCTCAACCCCAGATAAAAGGGGCCATTTCTGGACCCGCTGAGCCCCAGTGACGTGGTGGCGGAGCCATCATTCTGTACGGGGATTTTGTGACTGTAGGTTCCCAGACTGGGGGATATTGCTGCAGAGCAATCATGGAGAGGAAATCACTCCTCACTGTGTTGGGTGAGCTCTCACCACTGAGGCCAGTTCCCCCAATAACGGCTCCCTGGTGCTTGGCTGCTTAGAGGGGACTTCTATGGATGTTATCACAGGAGGGGTTGGCCACCCCGAGGGGGGCGAAATCTGAACTTGACAGATGTGTGAGGTGAGCTGCCCAAGGTCACATAGGGCCGAGGGTAAAGGAGCCCTGGGTCTGGGCCTCCTCCCTCCCAGTTCTAGGTTCTTTCCATTTCACTGGGACGGATCCTGCACAAAGGAGAGCTGGAGGGTTTCTCAGGGTGCAGATGGAGGAGTTTGGGGTGGTAGGGGGCTTTGAGGCACTTGGCAGAGCCTCTTCCTGGCACCAGCCAGAGAAGAGGGCATGGTGGTCATGGGGGTCACACCGAGGTTCCTGTCCGCAGGCAAAAAGTTCCAAACTCAGGGATTAGGAAGATTTTTTTTTAAAAAGCACTCTAGAAAGGGGTTAACCTCATTTTCTCAGATTTTAAAGCCATCCTTGGCAGTTAGAACCAGCAGATTTGACACCATGGATGACAAACACCCCGTACGGGGGATATATACCTGTCCACACGTGCCCCTGGCAGGGATTTAAACGTTCCACAGCTTTTCCATGAATCCTAAATCAACTAGATTCATCCTGGCCCTTGGTGAAGTGCAAGAGCCAGCAGGCGAGGCGTCCGTTAAATCACCCTCTCTGGGTTCCTGCTCCCAGGCTGATAGTCACAAATTCCCCATAATGAGCCCTCCTGAAGAAGCCCAGACAGACAGCGCCACTAAATTAAGAGTGGAGGGAGCCCAGGGCAGGGGAGAGAAGTGTTTGCTTTGGCTGGGGAAGGTGCCTGGGGCCCGGCCTGCATGTTTGCCTGACACGGAGGCCTGATAAGGGGGCTGTGTAGAAAGTGCTGCGTGGTGGGACCTGGCCATCTGCCGCCCGTCGGGGAGGCCGCACCTGCTGGCCCTTTGGCCCTGACCTGGTGGAACGGGACCCCCTGTCATCCTTCTTCAGCTTCCTTTGCAGCCTCATGGTCACTAAGAACCCAAGATTACTTTTTTTTCCCCTTAAGAATAAAAATTGAACCCTTGAACTTTTGTTTTGATGAATTACTTCCAGGCTATTTGTTTGGAGAACAAAGCTCCCCAGCTGCAGGGAGGGTGGAGGCCAAGAGACAAACACCCGACCGACCACAGACTGGCTTTTCAAGACAGTGTGGCCACGTGGAGAGAGTGCAGAAAAGCTGGGTTATCCTGGCTCTGCCATTCTACTGTTGCGTGCCTCAGTTTCCCCACCTGTCAAAAGGGGGATCAGACTGTAGGCTCTGTACACTAAGGGTGCCCGCCTTTCAGCACAGTTTTTTGTACCACCTGGGCACTGTGTTAGCAGAAGACATCATCCTGACATGGACCTTGGGTTTATGCCTCTTCTTCTCTGAGAGGGTTGGAAGTAGCATCTTTATTATGCGGGCAAAAGCTCAGTAAACATAACTTAAAAATGTTGCTTATGTGGATTTCTTGAGGGGATGAATGATGTTTGATTTCTGTGCATTTGTTCCAGGGGAGGGGAGTCTCCCAGCTCCAAATGCCAACCGCTCGCTCCACTTAAGTCCCGGATGCTACGCCCTCTACTTCCCTGAAGAGTTTCCCCTGCAAGTTTGGTCCTCCTTCCCACATCGTCCACCTCCGTTCTTCTACTGGACCATTCCTTTCAGCATGAGAACACGTCTGTGTAACCCCTGCTTCTCCTTAGCCCCAGCCTCCTCCCGGCTTAGCCCCTGGGACAGCTGGCCCCACTCCCCATCTCTGCTCTCGCTCCTTCTTTTCTTTCCTCAACCACTGCAATGGGCGTTTCGTCCCCCCGCCCCCCCGCCCCCCCAACCCCCCCACAGGGCACTTGTCCAGCCCACCATGACAGGTGAGTGGCCAGTGGGCAGCGTCCCATTCGTGCTTCCTCAGCCTCCAGCAGCCCTGGGCTCTAGCGGCCCTTCTCCGCTGGACCATGTTCTCCTGCAGGCCTGCCTGAGGCCATGCTTGTTTCCCTGCTGGCCCTTCTCTCGCCCTGGCCGAACCTTCTCTGTAGCTTTGGTTGGATCTTCGCGCTCACCTCCAAATGTCAGAGTGCCCCAGTGGTCTGTGTCAGCGATTAGAATAACCCTATTTGCTCTCTTCGACAGGGATTTCACTCAGGGCATGGCACTATAGTCCACCCAGACTCATGTTCAGGGGCCTGCTTATCTCCTCTGGGGTCTCAGGGGGCTTCTGAAAATTCGGATGGGCCAACTGGATTGGGGGAACTCTGAATTCCCCCAGTAACTTCCCTCTGGTGTCCACGCCTCCCTGCCTTTCTGCCGATGGCATCCCCACCCGGTTAGCTGCTAGAGCAGGTGCCCACCAGCCCTCCTGGCTCTCCTTTCCCTCACGACTCATGTCCAACCTGCTGCTGGGGCCAGGCTACCCTCACCCCTTGCCTGGACCTCCCCAGGAGCCGCATAACTGCTATTCCTGGGCCCCTGCAGCCTTGACTGTGTACAGGGGCCAGAGTGAGCTTGCCAAAGCCCCAGTCAGACCACATCATGCCATGGCTTAAATTCTTCAGGGAGCTTTCACTACACCTGTAATAGAAGCCAAGCCCCTTACCCTCGCCCACAAGGCCTGTTGAGCTGGCTCCTGCTCTCTAGCTCAGCACCTCAAATGATCTTCCCTATTTGTTGGTGTCCTTTCTTTTTTCAACAAGGAAATGGAGGAGAGAAGGTGAGCTATGGTGTCACCACAGGCTGGTGGCAGAGCCAGCCTATTTCAGATCTCAGAGAGACCTTGCAGTGGTGCTGATCCCCGAGAGAGAACAGTGGGCTGGCTGGCATCTCGGCAAGGGTGTCTGCTTGCTGTCAGTGCGCATGATGTGGCAAGGCCGGCCTTTGCCTGGGATGCTCCACCCGTATGCGAACCTCCTAGTGTCTGAACTGCAGAGAGCTGGCCATGAAACTGAATGTGGGCCTCTCGGGGCAGGTGTCACTCCTGATAGGATCCAAGTCTGCCATTTCATCCATCACAGGGAAGCAATGCTCGGCCATCTGCTAGCCTTTGGCTTACTGGGATGAGGTTAAAAGTACGGCTGGGCTCAGGGGTCCTGGGCCTCATCCCTGGGGGTCTCTGGGGAGAGGGGAGGCAGGAGAAGAGAAGGCCTGTCCACAGCCAGGCGCCAGCTGCCAAGAGGAAGATGGGGGAAGTGGGTGACAAGGCCAGGAAGGGCCTTTTCATTCTCTTCCTGTTGTCTGACACACCACAAGTATTTCTTCTTCAACAGTTAATGGTGTCCTCAGGCCTGAGCCTTCAGACGGTGATTATGTCTACAGCTCATTGGTAAGAACCAGGCTCCAACGGGAGAGTGATAATTCTAGCCCGGGACTCATGCCACCAAATCATCACTCAGCCCCTTCTTGTATGGAAAAGGCTGAACAGAGGTGATCTGGCTTTGGGGACAGAGAACACAAGGAGCCGAAGATTTGGGAGAGGGAGGGAAGCTTTGCCAAGCAGGGCGGCAACACCTGGGCCCGCACCCCTTTGAGCCTGTCTTGGTGTTTGTGATGCTGTCTCTTGGAGCTTTTTCCTGGAGGAAGCAGATGCTAGGCACATGTGAGGTGACCACAGGGTCAGTCCTGTGGTTTTTGGGAATATGCAGGAAGCTTCCGACTTCCTTCTCAGCTCACTCTGGCCTTCCCCCTCCCTCACCCAATGGTTGGTGAGCAGAGCCCTGGAGGAAGGTGCACTTACATTTCTTCTGTAGAATGCTCTGTCTGGCCTTGATGAATGCCAGGATGTCCGAGTCCGTCTGGCTGTCCCCGGTGAGAGGGACAGATGATGCTGGCCTCTTAGGGATGCTGAGGACAACCACAAGTCACACATCACTGCACCTTACATTTGGACTCCATGCTTACATTTCCAAAGCTCTTTCCATGTTCAGAGAATGAATCTCACCAGGAGGCTGTGGGACCACAGCCCCTCCACCATATCTGGGCAGAAGCCACAGAAATCCTTTCACCTGCAAACATGTCATGTCCTCTCTTACCCCTAACCCTAACCCTACCTTAACCCCTAACCTTAACCCTAAACCTTAAGCCCATTAGTGGCTTCTTGCATCACTCTTGAAATGAAACTCAAACTCTCATCTTGTGTGATCTGGCCCCTGGTGTACCATGCTCCAGCCACCCTGCCCTTCTTTCTGTTATTCTGTTACTCAATAACATGAGTTCCTTCTGGCCTCAGGACCTTTGCTTTAGCTGTCTCCTTTTCCTGGACTGCTCTCCTCCAAGACCTTTGCATGGTTGATTATGCCTTGTCTCAGCACCTTCCCCATCCCTCCCAATTCCCGCCCCCACCAAGTCTATTCCACCTGGGGCTTGACTGTCTCCTTCAGCACCCAACTTAGATGGCATATCCTGTAGGACATCTCCCCTGTGCGTCCCCATACCCTACCATGGCTTAGTTGCTCCTCGGGCAGATAACTGTCCTCTCCTCTCTTTATAAAAACATGATATTTGTTACCATGGCTGGAAAAAAAAAATTCTACATTTCCAAGCCTCCTTTGCAGCTGTGTGCAGTCAGGTGACCAGGTTCCAGCCAATGAGATTTGTAAGAAGTGTGGGATTTCCAAGAAATCCCCTTAAAAAAGGAAGAATGCACATGTGCTTTTCTCCCTCCTCTTTTTCCAACCTCCCAAGCTGTCCGAAGGTGAGGTCCAGCCATGCCCTTCCCGGAGCCCAGACAGAAGGAACAGCTCCGTGCTGCCCCATGGGAGCACCTCTCCTCGATCGCAGCTGGATGCCCACACAAACCATTACTTGTGATCATGAGCAGCCCTTTATTATGTCCTGTCCTCACTGCCTTCTAAGACAGTGGATACTGGCACTTGCTGTGTGGAGTGATATGATGAGGGGGGCGCTTGGCAGGCCAGGAGGGCACTGCTTTGAATTTTCTTTAGGGGTGATTTATTGGTTGGATTTATTGGCTCCAGGAGGGGCATGGCTGGACCTCACCTTCGGACAGCTTGGGAGGCGTGTAGGTGAAGAAAGGTGCTCACGCCTTCTAGTCAGGGGGCATAAAGAGCACTGCCGGGGAGAGGCCTTGTCAGCTTTGTTCAGTCTGCAGTGAATGGTGCACAGGGCCTGAGGCTAGGCTTGTTAACTCTCTATCCTTCTCTGCCTGGGGACCCTGTGGTGGGACTAGCGGGCCATGTTGGAACGGCCCGTGGGCCAGCTCTTCTTTCCTTTAATGGCCCTGGGTACATCTGTTTATAAGGAGACTTGAAGCAAGTCTGCCTGCATGGGGCCCTGGGAGAAAACCTCCCAGCTTTGGGACTCAGCATCTGTGAGAGACTCCAGAGTATTCCTAGGGTACCGGTGGGGGGGGGTGGGAGGCTAGCCCTGAGCTCTGTGCAGCTACCAGACAAGGGGCTCGCAGGATGTGGGACAAGAGAACTGGCAGTGTTGGCCCATTCCACCCATGGCAAGGGCTGCCACAGGCATCAGAGGGAGAAGACAGACCTGTCTTCCAGGGGGCTGCTGGTGCTGTTGTGCTCCCGGCTCTGTGGGGTGTGGTAAGGCAAGGGCAAGATTTTCCTGGCGTTCACTTTGCTGCAAAAGAACAATGAAAAAAGGAAAAGGAATGGGAGGAGATTTACAGGAAAGAAATTTAGGTTTATATTTAGGAGCTGTACAGATTGAATGTGTGTGTCCCCCCAAATTCATATGTGGAAGCCCTGCCCCCCAGTGTGATGTATTTGGAGGGGAAGCCTTTGGGAGGTAATCAGGTTTTTGATGAGGTCATGGGGGTGGGGCCCCCATGAGGGGATTGGTGCCCTTACAAGAAGAAGAAGAGAGACCAAAGCTCGCTACCATGTGAGGACACAGGGAGAACCTGCCATCTGCAAGCCAAGAAGAGGGTCCTTGCCAGCGACTGATTTTGTTGGACCTTAATCTGGGAATTCCAGCCTCCAGAACTGTGAGAAATAAATAAACTCCTAATGTCTAAGCCAGCTCGTCTAGTTATGGCAGCCTGAGCTGACTACAAGAGGAGCCAGGAATTCTGTGTTGTGGATGGTGTCGTGGTCAGCTCAGGCTGCTATCACAGAATGCCCTAGACTGGTGGCTCACACAACAGGAATTTGCTTCTCACAGTTCTAGAGGCTGGGCGTTGGAGACCAGCGTACAGCATGGTCGTGTTCTCACTCCGGTCTTCTTCCAGCCGACTGCCAAATTCTTCCCGTGTTCTCACAGGCTGGGAAGAAAAGGCTCTCTGCCTTTTCTTACGAAGGCGCTAATCCCCTTCATGAGGGCTCCACCCTCGTGACTTAAAGACCTACCTCCAAATACCATCACATCTGGCATTAGGTTTCAACAAATGAATTTTTAGAGGACACATTAAGTCCATCACATTCTACCCTGCCCCCTCCCACAGCACCGTCAAATTCATGTCCTTCTCACGTGCAAAATACATTCCTTCCATCTCACCAGCCCCCAAAGCCTTAACTTGTCCCAGCATCAACTCTAAAGTCCAAAGTCCTGTCTAAATCAGATATGGGTGAGACTGGAAGTTGAATCACCCTGAGATGGAATTCCTCACCAGCTGTGAGCCTGGGAAACCAGACAAGTTATGTGCTTCCAAAATACAATGGTGCACAGGTGTAGGCTAGACATTCCCATTTCCACAAGGGAGAAAGAGGAAAGGAGGAAGGGGTGATGGGTCCCAAGCAGGTCCAAAACCTAGCAGTGCAAACTCCATGAGATATTAAAGCTTGAAAATAATCCTCTCTGGTCCAGTGTTCTTGCCCTCTGGACTCACTGGGGTGATGGTCCTATCTTCTGGATCCACTGAGTAAAGGGCCTGCTGGGCAGGGATCGTGCCCTCATGGTTCTGCAGGGAGGCCCTGCCCCACAGCTCTGGGTAGAGGCTGTCTGGTCTGTTGAAAGCAAGACAATGCCCCCCCCCCCCTTTTGAAATGGAGGAGGCAGCCAGGATGATCTCTCAATTGCCTTTGGGGTCATTCTTCCCTTAACTTGAAAGAACAGTGCACGGTTGCAGCAGAATAGCTCGCCTTTATGGACACCGTCTACTCACCAGGTCCTGGAAAGTGCTCTGCAAACATCATGCCATTTCCTCCTGTCAATAGCCTCATTATCCTCATTACACAGGTGAGACAATGGAGGCTTAGGGAGGTTAAAGAAATTCTAAATATTACCAGCTGGCTAAGGGCAGAATCTGAATCTGATCCATGACTCTGTGAGGGGTCAGAATCCGTGCTCTCAGCCACGATACTTTATCAACCGGACTCGGCTGGAAATGCATGGCTCACTTCTGACCACACTGACTGACCAGCCCCTGCTCCCAAGTGACAAGTCAGACCCAACAGCTCAGGCAGGTGCATTTTTGCCCATTTAACTAGGCTGCCCGATGTGTGTACCTTGCCTTGGATTCCTGGTTGCAAACAGCAGAACCCAACAGTGCCCCTTGGGAGGTGAAGAGGCCAACGCTATCCCAGGATGCCAGTGACAGGCTGGGGTTCTCTTCCTTGCTTTGGGATGGTCCTGCCTAGGCACCATATCAGGGCTGGAAGAGACCTAAAAGGTCACCTGGTTGGAACCCTCCTTTACAGATGGAGACACTCAGGCTGAGAGGTGGGCTAGGGTTAGACGGGGCGCCGGCTTTGCCTAGCCTGCACCATCAGTCTGAGGCATTCCATAGGCCCAACAACCTGCTGCCCCACCTATGAATACAGCCCCTTCCCCCGCTCCAGCCTTCTGCCCTCTCCCATCTCAGCCAGCTGCAGGGCCTCTTTCCCTGGGCCTGCCTCCACAGATTCGAGACTGTGGGTCAAACAAACAGGAAAGGAAATCAGAGCCTAGGAATCCCCCCACCCTCATGCCTATTTCCCTGCATCCCAGAGACTCCACTGGCTAGTGGAGGGGAGGGGGGCGGGGGGAGGAGCATCTGCGCTGTCTGGTTAGGGATGCTGTAGAACCAGAGGCAGCCACAAGGTGGCAGGCTCTGCACGCTTTTCTTTGGAGAACAGTGGTCAATGATCAGGGCTCCTTCTGAATGGTTCCTGGTGCAGGCCTCCAGAAGGGAAGGAGAAAGGGCTCTCCATTCTGTACGAGCTTTGATTACGCCAGGTCAAAGTCAGTTTGGAAACTAGCAAGTCTTGCAAGATCAGGTCACTGGCATTCAAATGGCTTATTAACTCAGTGGATTCCCAGTGGATTTCCAGTGGCTCCTTGACTAAGATTCCAGGGAGCATCCACAGGTACAAACAGTTGAGGGTTGGCAGTGGGTGGCGGAGGGGCAGAGATGGACGTGGACAGGGCAGAAAGGTGTCGTGATCAGCACCGGGGAAAGATGGGGTTATCCAGCATATTGCTGCAACCGTGCAGGAGGATGGCACAATGTGAAAGCTTGGGGCTCCTGAGAGAGATGACTCCCTCAGTCTCGAAGCTGTTAGAGTGCCCGTGGATGCCACAGCTCAGTTTCTGAACCCTCAGGATCACACCACAAATTACTTTTGTCTTCTTTCCTGACCAATCAGCCTTGCACATTGCATTCATTTCTCATGTTGACGTGCCTTCTGGAGAAAGAACACACCAGCCATCAGAACTAACTATCTTTTTCTTGATAAGGGTTAATGAGTAGTATTAATAAAAGGCCTCCTGGGTTGCCAATCAGAGTGTTGTGAATTTAGGGTGATCAGCCCACAGACCATCCCTGAGGAAGTGATGCAATCAGGTTTCTTCCAGAACTTGAGGAGCAGAGGACTAGCCCCAGGCCTGCAGTGAGTCCATCCAGAGCAGCCACTCTGGAGCTAGGGGGGAAAAAGCCAGCGGATTCTGGCTCTTTCACCCCTGCAGCTCCTTCCATGGCACTGGCACATTTATCTGCTCGTGGAATGATAGTGTCAGAGGGACCTAGATGTATCTGGAAGATAAGATGAGGAAATCCGCAAGGAGGGAGCTGCCTTGCCCAAGAGTCTGCTGCCCGAAAGAACTAAAATGGGGATTTGTTTCAGACATCCTTTGTGAAAATCTAAACTGAGGGGACTCCTTGCAGGTAACCCACACTGATGCGATGCACACCTATGAAATCCACTGCTCAGAGCTTCTGGGTTAAGGGTCTCTTTCAATTGAAACACCTAAGGAATGTTCAGGGATGCCATGGTGCTACTTCTCACACCAGTGGGTGCTGGGAGGGGAGCATGATTCTTATAGTGGTTCCCCAAGAAGATTCTAGGAGGCCCTGCCCAGTGGCTGGTTCTTAGCCTTTTCCATGGTGGGCACCCTTTCAACAAATGCATAATATCATATGCCCACCACTACATAGCATACAGAATAGTTTCACTGCCCTAAAAATCCCCGGTGTCCCCCCATTCATCCTTCCCACCCCTCCTCTCTTGCCCTGGCAATCACTAGTCTTTCTACTGCCTCCACAGTTTTGCCCTTTCCAGAATGTCAGGTCGGAATCACACAGTATGTAGCCTTTTCAGATTGGCTTCTTACACTCAGTAATATGAATTTAAGCTTCCTCCACGTCTTTTCATGGCTCAATAGCTCATTTCTTTTTAGCGCTGTGTAATAGTCCATTGTCTGGATGTACCACAGTTCATTGGTCCATTCATCGTTTGAAGGGCATCTTGGTTGCTTCTAGTTTAGGGCAATTATGAACAAAGCTGCTGTAAACACCCAGGCATAGGTTCTTGTATGGACCTAAGTTTTCAACTCATTTGGGTAAATACTAAGGAGCATGAGTGCTGAATCATATGGTAAGAATATGTTTAGTTTAGTAAGAAGCCACTGAACTGTTTTCCCAAGGGACCATGCCATTTTGCATTCCCACCAGCAAAGACGGAGAGTTCCTATACCTCCACATCCACACCAACATTTGCGGATGTCATTGTTTTTGGATTTTAGCCATTCCAATAGGTGTGTAGTGGTATTTCATTGTTGCTTTAATTTGCAATTCCCTAATGACATATGACTTTGAGCATTTTGTCATACACATACATCTGTAAAACTTCTTGGGTGAGGTGGCTGTTCAGATCCTTTGCCCATTTTTAAATTGTTTTCCTTATTTGTCGAATTTTAAGTTTTTGTGTATTTTGGATCCAAGTCCTTTATCAGATACATGTTTTGAAAATATTTTCTCCCAGTCTGTGGTTCATCTTTTCCTTTTCTTATCAGTGTCTTTTGCAGAGCAGTGTTTTAAATTTTAATAAAGTCCAACTTATCAATTTTTTCATTTCTGGATCTACACTGCCTTTTAAAACACCAGGCTTACCAAACAGAACACACTTTGCCAATTGTTGACCCTGGACTTAGGGGCTCAGATAGGAGGTGTTTCTTAAAACTGGAACATAAGCGGAAGTACTGGCACCTAGGGCCAGCGTGGGGGGCTATGCGGAAGTCCAGGGAAAATGTCGATCAGGTGGTGGAGGGCTCACTGGCTGGCCTTTTTTTTTTTTTTTAAAGAGTAGTTTCAGATGATGGCATAACATATAGACTTGTGGAATTACTACGTTGTAAACCTGAACTAATGTAACAGTATGTGTCAACCATACTTAAACACAACAACAAAAGAAGAGTTTTAGGTTTACAGAAAAGTTGCCAAGATAGTACAAAGGGTTACCATGTCCCTCATACCCAGTTTCCCTTATTATACTTTCTTATGTTGGTATGGTACATTTGTCCCAACTAATGAAACAATGCTGATACATGATTATTAATTCAAGTCCATGCTTTAGTTGGAGTTTCTTAATTTTTCCCTAATGTGTTGTTCTGACCTAGGACCCCTTCGAGGCTCGCACATTATCTTTTGTTGTCCTGTCTCCGTAGGCACCTCCTGTCTGTGAGTTTCTTATATCTTCCTTGTTTTTGATGGCCTTGACAGTTTTGAGGAGGATTGGCCAGGTATTTTGTAGAATGTCTCCAGGTTTTTTCCTCATGATTGGACTGGGGTTATAGGATTTTGAGAAGAAGACCATAGAGGTTGGGCACCTGGGTGGCTCAGTCGTTAAGCGTCTGCCTTTTGGCTCAGGTCATGATCCCAGGGTCCTGGGATTGAGCCCCATGTCGGGCTCCCTGCTCAGAGAGTCTGCTTCTCCCTCTCCCTCTGTCCCTCTCTCCGCTCATTCTTTCTCTCAAATAAATAAATAAAATCTTAAAAGAAAAAAAAGAAGACCATAGAGGTCATGTGACATTCTCATCATGTTAAAGGTACTATCTGGCACAACCCCCACCTCCCACTACTCCCTTTATTTATTTATTTATTTATTTGTTTGTTTTTAAGAGAGATAGTTAAAACGAGAGAGAGAGAACGAGCAGGGGAGTGAAGCAGAGGGAGAGGGAGAAGCAGGCTCCCCACTGAGCAGGGAACCCGATGTGGGGCTTGATCCCAGGATCCTGGGATTATGACCTGAGCCAAACACAGACGCTTAAAGACTGAGCCACCCAGGCGCCCCACTACCTCTTTTTAAAACTTCTATTTCACATTTCCCAATTTGAGAGCTCAGTTCCTATTCAAACCCAGTCAAAGGATTGCTCCTTGGGGGCAGAAGCCAATGCCCCACTCGTGCCACCCTGGCTTCTGTCCTGAAAGTAAGGGATCTGTCTGGGGGATGGAGGGTGGCCAAGGCATGTGTCCTAGGCCTTACCACCTGAGTTATGTGGTTGGAAAGATAATAACATGGATGGCATGAGAAGGAACCTGCCTTCAGAAGGTGGTGTGAGGTGGGGGGAAGTGGCATCCCTTCTGGATCATGCCAGCATTCAAGGAAACTGGCTCTGGGCTGTCTTCAGGTGGAGGCCATCCTCATAGAAGGCTGCCCACATCGGTCCTGAATCTGTGCTAGGACAGAGTCTTTTACCAGAGCTCCTCCGTATCCTGGCAGGTCTGCTACCCTCTGACCTACCACCAACATCCCCCTTCTTTCCCATTCCCCTTGTCTCCCCCATGCTACTCTCCCTTCCACCTACTGCCAACCCCTTCTTCCTACCGCGGCTTTGTACAGTTAAACCACTTGTCTCTTGTTGCCATGGCAGTAGGTCCACTGGCTGTCAGTGCCGGGGAGAAGGACCGAGAAGGTGTGCTCAACAACCCTTGCTCAAACCCGCCCGAAAGCCACTGGCTTGAGTATCTACAGCCAACATAACTTCATCTTCCCAGATCAGGCGGCCTATACAGACACATTTAGAGCAGCAAGAACAGATGGAGGAGAGGTAGGGAAACTTTTCTGTACCCTCCCTCTGTTGGAAGAGTTCTCCCCTTACCTTTTGTTAGAGACAAGCTGAGGCCTCTCCTGCTGGGACTCAGGCGTCTGGGGAAAGGGTTTCATGTAAGTGAGTGAGTTCATTGCTGGCGAGTTTACCTGTTGGACCAAGAAGGAGTTTCACAGTATTACCTTGAAGCTACTGGCATGGGAAAATGTCCTTGATGTATTTTTTTAAGACAGAAATGTTAGCTCTAAAAGTTGTTAGGTACAACATGTGTGGGGGAAGAAATTAATCTAGACTATAATGATAGGCACCAAAATATTATCTCTGGATGGCAGGATTATGGATAATGGTTGGTGTATTCTTTGTCCTTTTCTGTGCTAAGTCCTCCAAACTAAGCATGTGTTGCTTACTTGTAGATAGGAAAAGGGTTTAAAATGCGATCTGACAATTCTCCAGAAGTCCTCTCGCTTTTGCCTCCCTTTGTCCCCCAAAGAGATGCTGCCAGAGGCAGGAGAAGTCCATTGAGCACTTCACATCGAGGAACAGCTCCACCACGGTGCCCCAGCAACCTTAACATGGCTCCACACAGGGCTTGTGAGCAAGGCCTCAGCGGCAGCTTCTCTGAGTCTTGGAAGAATGCCCTGTGATTCTCCCAGAACACGAGTAGCTGCTCCAAGACTGTTCCCCACTTGCCTTCCTATCTCCCCGGGAGGCAGTCATGGGACAGTTTCTCATCACCTCCCATGTTCTGATGAGGTTTAAGACTTTCTGCCTCATTCCCCTCAGGGTACATTTGCAGGTGCCCCATCATCCCTCCTGCAGCCACCGGGCCCGTTTTGTTTCAGTGACTTCCTGTGGGGCAGAGCTGACATCTCTGGCTACACCAGTTTTCACTGTCTCTATAAGCAATACACCGCCTGAATCCGTCCACCTTGCCTTGACTCTTCCTGCATCACACAGGATGACCCTCATCATCTACTGTTCAGTGGCTAAAGTCTCTTGGGCACCAGCAGTGGCTGACGGCCTCTCCCCGAAGGGTTCTTAATGGGAGAACAGACAGAATGTGGGGGTGCTGGGAACGTGGATGGGGACCAATGACATTTTTAATTTTCCTAACTTCTCCCTGAAATTTAGCATTTCTTTCAACAGTACAATGTGGACAACAAACCACAGTAGTATATGTAGCATCAGTGACTTGTCATCAGTTGGAAATCACAGATATTTTCATATCATATTACACTGTTGCAGAAATCTTGAAATACTGTGTTCACCATTACTTCGAAATTATGTTAAATGTTGGGCCCACCCCCTAGATCTTATTAATACATTTGTAAAGTGGTTTACATCTTATCATACCATAACTTTGCTTTAATATTTTGATAACTTTATTTCCATCTTATTAGTTTTCTTTGTCATCTCGTGTATTAAATTTTATCCAACTATTCTTCTCTAGTGTCTGATAACATGGCTACTTGGTAACATATGGTCACTGCTTGGCTGTGTGTCATTGGCCAAATAACTTCTTGGGCTCTCAGCTTCCTTGTCCTTAAAATAAAGGGATCAGCTGTTAATCTCTGAGGGTTCCGCCAGCCACACCAGTGATGTGATAATATGTATCTCGTCACTTCCATTATACCACAGCTGATGAGTTACAGGAGGACAATTGGAACTGGGGGTTTGTATTACACTTATTATGTCATTTTAGCCTTCATAGTATTGTAGAGAACTTCCAGGAACCTGTCTAGCAAATGTGCAAACATTTTTCTACAAATATGTTTCCAGTGAAAAACTAGAAACAAACATTAAACAATAGAAGATTAAGCAGACAAAAATAAATTCATAGGATGGAACAGTGACGGCCATTAGAATGATGTAGAAAAGTATCATGGAAGAGTAGCCATGCAATGCAGTGAGTGCCACAAGCAAAAGCCAGTTGTGATACTTGAAGACCAATATGACTCTGTCTTTATAAAAACATATAGAAATATAGGCATCGGAAAAACAGATAAAATAATATAATCCAATATGATAATATTGGTTATCCTTAAAGGTGGGATTATGGTGATTTTTACTTCTTTGTGTTTTTCTCTATTTTCCAAAATTTCTGTAACTTATATATAAATTATAGAAGTATATATTTACATATACATACATTATGTATACACACACACATATATGACTGTAGTAAAAAACAGTCAATATTGTCAATATGGTATCACAGGAGAACATTACACAAAGCAACAGTGGCAAACCCACTGGTCTGGGCACACCTTCCATCCCCCACCTTTCTATGTGTCCGGCCTCAAGACAGCAAGCCCCCGGCCGTTGGCATCCTTGTTATTAGCATGAGCACTTGCCTCATGAGCTAAGGCTGAGAGCATGTGGGCCTGTGGGTCGAAGCCCCCACTCTTCTGCCTCTGACAGCCTCTCTCCAGGCCCCAGGAGGAGGGCGGGCTCTGGGGCAGTGAAGGGGACAGCTGCTAATACCTGCAGGCTGGTGGCTTCCTCTGTCCACCAGGCTTCAAACTCTTTCTGCAGCTTCACCTTGGCCTTGTCCATGAGCAGCTGCAAGTGCTCGATCTCCACCTTCAGGGCCTTCAGGCGGGTGAACATTATCTTATACCTACAGTGAAATCAGTGAAGAGTTGTGAAAGTCACTGGCAGGGGGAAAGGCTGGGAGTGGAGTGTCACTGTGGGGCCCGTGTCTCAGAAGTCTGGCAGTGCCTCACTGGAACCAGGGACTGGGACCCCAGGGGAGCCCACAGAGGCCGGAGGCCAGGACCTGGGCTTGAGCCCCTTACAGAGAAGCAGAACCACGTGTTTTTGTCCAGCAGGCCCATGGGCTCTGTGTATGAGATGAATACCCCCTTCTTCCAGAAGGATGGCTACTGTTACTGAGCATTTATACGGGGCATTGCTCTAGGCGCTTGGCATACCAGCAGGTTCAGTCCTGTACACAGTCCTATAAGGAGACGCTCCACTTTACAGATGTGGAAGCTGAGGCATGGAAGGGTTATATAACTTGCTCTGTGGGCTAATAAACAGAGGGGCCAGTATGTGAGCCCCGGCCATCCATCTCTAGAAACCACAGCTACCTCTCTATTCCATGGGTTCACTTCGTACTGAGGACAGAAGGTGCACTACATCTGTTACTGCGCACACGGGTTTGGGGCACGTGGCCACGAGGCAGAAGTTGTCCAACAGGAACCAGTGAGGCAGCTGAACTGCGGACACATCGTGGCTCCTGAAGGGACACTGGGGTTGGGAATGTGGACCAAAGGGACAACACAGGGTGGAGTAAAGACACAAAAAAATGGGTTGGAAAGAAATTGGGAAAAATAAACAGAGTGAGAGAGGAAGAGGGTAACTCCAGGGCAACCCCAGGGGGTGCAGAGCAACAGCGGCACGGCGGCGAGGGCAGCGCAAAGCTTTCTGGGAGGAGAATGCGGGCGGAACAAGCCCCAGTGCAGTTATGGGGAGGAATCTGGGGACTCGCTGCGTGGGGCCTTGTTCTGCTCCAGTTTCTGGGCGGCAGGGGTGTATGAGCGGCGAGGGTGGGGCACGCCTTGCCAGCCCAGGGGTGGCACATGTAGCATTGACACCATCAGCTCCCCGAGGGCCAGGAAAGTGACTTGTTGGCTCTCCCCAGAGCCTCTCCGTGGCCTGCAGGGCATAGCAAACATTGGTGGAATGCATCAATCAGCGAATGAAGGATGAAGCTGGACTGCTGTGTTAAGTGAGATTCTGCGACCATGCTGAGTATCAGTTACAGCCACGTGTCTGCTGATGCTGGAGGTTCCTCGCTCTGTTCGTGACGTCATCTGGGGGCCCTGACTGGCTGCAAGAGGCTGTGAGGTTCTCGGACACCCTGCAGGTGAGGAGACTCAGGAGGGAAGTGGGGGCAGATCTGCAGGCAGGCGGGAGACCTCCGTGGTCATACTCCTGGACTCCCCTAGATGGCAGCAGTAGATAAGCCTAGTTGCTCCTGAGCCACAGCCGGGGACCTTGGGCTGGGGAGGGTGCCAACAAGCAAACCTCTCTATGGGCTCCAGGGCCTGGCGAGGCCTTCTGCTCCAGATTCCAACCCCACGCTGCTTATGGTCCCTGCATTCCACATCTGTCTGCTCAAAGGCAGCACGCCCTCCAGCTATTTGAGGACCCAACCACTGGACCCACTTCCCAGAGCAGCTCCAGCCCTGAGCTGGGGAGTGGTCACTCCTCCTGGCTTGGGCAGCTCCCTGTCATCCCCGAGGGCCCTCAGTGGATGGGGTCAGGGTGTGTGAGGTTAAAAAAAAAAGGGTACCTTCTCTTTTCTTCCTCCAGCTGGGATCGAAGCTTCTCTTCCAGCAAGTCTGGTATCGAAGGCACGGCTGTGTTTTCTGCGATGCCTGCGGAAGGGAGACAGGTTACTCCAACAAGGAAGAATGGTGAGCGGAGAGGTGTGAGATTTAGGGTGGGGGAACTGTGAGGACCTTCTGCGGCCTCCGGGTGGGAGTCTGCTTCAGCCCCCTCCTCTGGATGGCAACCTCTGCTCAGGGGAAAGCCTCCAAGGAGAGCCTTCCATGATTATTTCGACTGTCCCTGCCACAGTCCATCTGTCACTGGAAGAGAATTCGTCCTTACGTTTTGCTACTAATCCTTTTACTGTTCAGTTCACTTATTTCCTCTTGAATCCCCAGGGAAGATGCAAAATAGCATTTTCCCATCCTCTGCTCCAGAGCCCCTCACAGATGGGAAGACATCACTAACCCGTCTCACATCTGTCACATCTGTCTTTGCACCAGTTGAGGTGCTGAGGGTCTCTGGCCTCCAATCATGTCTCCAGTTTTTGACTTCCCTCCAAAGCAGAGGTTGCCAAGCACGATGAACCCAAGCAATGCTAATACGCAGCCAGAGCTGAGCACACGCTCAGGCACCCTGCCCATGAGACAGGGCGACAGGACTGTGCCATGGTCCTGGTGAGGGCTGTGCTCCCAGGCAGGCCGACCCCTGCTACTGGTTACATAGTTGCCCGCTCTGGCTGGTTGCCTGTTGGGGGCCTGGCCCCTCCTAGCCTGCTGGGTGGGGTCTATTTATCCTCCTAGGAGTCCCTGTGGTTGCTCTGCATTTCCTAGCCCCACAGAGGGTATCTTGGAAGTCACACAGCTCTGCTTTTTTACTCCAAGTAGGGGAGAATCTACTTTGGGCCAGGTGCTTTCTGGACATGATCGGACTTCATCCTTCTAGTACTCATTTGAAGCATTATTGTTCTCATTTTGCAGAGGTTAACCAAGGGTCAAAGAGCTTAACTTGCCCAGGACCACCCGGCTAACTTCAGGAACCGGGATCCAAATCCAGCTGTGTTTGGTTGCAAGGGCCTTGGATCCAGAAATTCCTTCCATTAACATTTCTGACAGATGGTCATCTACTTTCTGCCTAAATACTTCCAGCGGTGGGGAGCTCACTCCTTGGCACGGTAGCCCATTTCATGGTGGGTAGGTCTGTTTCCTCTTCCTCTGAACTGAGACCCATCCCACTCACTTTTTTCCACCTCTACTTTGGGTCTTCAGGGCAGCATATCATGTCTTCCTTCCTTTGACTGTTCTTCAGAGATTTCCACAATGATGACAACAAAATAATGTACTAACCATGTATCTGGAGCTTTATTCTCAGGCTGATTCTGCCCAACTCCTTCATCAAGGGCTCAGTGACATGGTTGCTTTCTAACTGATCTTAAGGATTAGGGTCTAAATTGGGACATAGTATTCTGGATAGGTCTGAAAGGGACAGGGTAGAGAACGGCCCTCCAACCTCTTAAAAATGTGCATTCTCTATTTTTCTAGCCGGTAAATTGTGAACAATGACCATTTATTGAATGCCTGTGGTCTGCTAGGTTCTGCCTAATTCTACCAGGCACTGGGCGAGGTGCCCACTCACATTATTGCTAATTCTCAACATAACCCAGCAGGGAGGGTCTTACCATCTCATTTCAGTTAGATTCCGAGGCTCTGAGAGGGCTGTGAATAACCCAGAGTCACACAGCTAATGAGCACAGCTGGGATTTGAACAAAAATTTTTCTGGTTTCAAAGAGCTCAGGGTGTAGACCAGGCACCCTCACCCCAATGCAGTTTTTGTTTTTCAAAGCTTTATACTTGTCATGGCCTGTGAGTTTGTCACTGGCCTCTATTAAGCTGGTGGTTAGTTTAAACGCTTTCATATTTTTATGAGTGGTTGTCCAAACACCCCCATTTCAGCGTGCTTGTCCTTTGGATCCTAACCGCTGCACTCCCACCTATTGGGGGTCAAGCCTTCTGAGGGGTCCTTACTCTGCCGTACCTTTATTCGGTCCCTCTTAGCTGCCTTTTGTGCCGTTATCTAACTCATTGACAAATATGCAAAGCAGATCAGAAGGCTGCCCTTTATCTTCCAGGCGCTAATACTCTCTCTCCATGTGCCAAGTGACAACTGTCTCTTGGAAAACGGACTGGACAAGTGTCTTACTCCATCTAAACACGGGACATGCAGATACCATTCGACTCTCCAACTGAGGATGACATGTCACCTGGGCTAGTGTGATTTTTGGACCTGATGAGTTGGCTGCCTGTCCACGTTGCCCACACTCCCCCAGGCACAGGCACCAGAAGCCCCTGGAGGGCAGGGACTGGTCCTGCTGCTCGTAGTATCTCCCCTGTGCTTCCTTCAGGCTCCACGTGCAGCGGACACTCAATGCTATTCGCGTGCACAGCCCTTGCCCTCTCTGAAAAAGGTCAGATGTGATAAACGGAAGATAGGATCTTCACATCAAACTGACAATGGCAGGACTTGAAATGGACAGAATGTTTCGTTGTCTCTTAACAGTTTCAGAAATGAGCAAATCTATCTACCAGCTTGTGGGAAAAGAAAAGCTGTGAATCTTCCTCCTTTTAACATTTTTTGGCTCCACGCCCAGGGAACCCCTGAGAAATTCAATGAAGACCCTATGTAGTGGCCGGCTGGGCAGCCCACAGCCACACTCTGTATGAGAGGTTGCGGGAAGCGGGTGAAGGCAGGGCCGCTGGATCCGCATAGGGGCGTCTCATCCAGCCTGGTGGAGGCTGTCTCTAAGGGCTTCATGCATGGAGGCTGAGATGACCTAAAGCTGTGGCTGCCCCAGCATGAGTGCGGAGCCCATCTGCAGGAGAGGGCTCTCGCCATGCCCCATTGCTGGCTGTCTTTTCCTAGGGCATCTTGCAGGCTCCCCTGGCAGATCACAGTGGCAGGTGCCTTGGAGGTGTGAGGGTGTCCAGGAGCCTAGGGCAGGGAGAGCATTACTTTGAATGCAGCTGACCCAGGAATAAGAGATGATGTCAGCCCCCGTTTGTGGGGCATGCTCTTGGTTCTATCCTCTGTGCTGCCTCATTTATTCCTGTCATTCTAGCTAGCGGATATTATCACCTCTGTTTTTCAGACAAGGAGTCCAAGGCTTGGGTGACCAGGTGGCTTGCACCATGCCATAAAGCTGCCAAATAGAAAACCCAGCTTCAAATCCATGGCTGGTCATTCACTCACTCATGTAACAAATGGGCTGCCCCCATTCCAGGGGCAGTCTGTTGGGGAAGGTGGACATTGAACCAACAAAAAATTGGGTTGACATAATGCCAGGGGCCGAAGGGCACCAGGAGGAGAGAAAGCTGGATAAAGGGTGGAGGGCTGCGATGTTAGGTAGAATGGCAGGGGAGGTGTCTCTGAGGAGGGGGCAAAGACCTGAATGAAGAGAGGGAACAAGCATGCAGAAATCAGGACAGAGAGTATAGCAGCGGGTGCAAAGGGCCTGAGGTTCATCTGCTTGGTGCTCTGAGAAACTGTGAGAAGGCCAATGTGTCTGGCAAAGTTGGTAGGGGAGAGAGTGGGAGCTGAGGCCAGATCACGTAGGACCTTGTAGGCCCTGGTAAGGATCTTAGCTTTGAGAGAGATGGAGGCTAGAGCATTTTGAGGACAGAAATGGCTCGATCTATTCTTTGATTGCTAAGCCAAGCAGTTTTTTGCTGATCAAGACAAAGCAGCTCCGAACTAAAGAATGGTCCTTGTGAGTTGGCGCCAGGATGCTGTAAGCCTATTGAAAGGATGTGGGAAAGAAAGCTGGGGCAAGGGACCTTGGGCAGCCAGAATGAGGGCACAACATATCCCCAAGACACAAGCTGTCCACGTTGTCATGGCAACCAATGGGTTATTGCCAAAGGTGATGTCTGCTTAGTGAAATGCATTGTAACCCCAGCAGGAGACAGCCCCTGGCTGCTTCTGATGCTTCCTGAGGTTGGGCTTATCAGTCTTGTCTGAAGGGCAAGAGGGGCTGGGAACTGAAAGGGAAGTGAACAAAAGGGGCTGAGCAAGAACAGAGGAAGAAGGAGTAACTGAAGGGCATTTGTAGGCTTTGTAGGTCTCCGTGCCCACTGGGACCGTGGCCAGGGACAGAACCTCCAGTCACCTGACAGGAGGCACAGGGGGCTGTCCTTTCAATCACAGGATTCTGGCTGGGACAGGAGCACAGGGGGTCGTAGCCCTGAGTGGCCTATGAGGTGACATTGTGACTCTGCTCGGGCAGCCGGCTCCAAAGCAATACAAAAGCAAGAGAGAAGGCTTTCATTCCAGCAGCCGCAGATCCGAATGTCACACAAGGAGGGAGCCCTGAGTGGTCAAATAGTATATGAAACTTCCAACAGGCACCCCCAGGCCCAGGCTGACCCTACATCTGGTGTGTCGGGTATTTGGGAACCAGCAGCACCAGGACAAGAGAGGCCCCTGCTGGGAAGGCCGGCTTCCCGTGCGCCCCATCCTACCTGGTGGGGTTTGGGGACACTGAAAAGATCATTATAACTCCTCTTCCTGCTTCCCCATACCCTCCTCTCAAACATATTGCACATGTGTGCATGCGCATGCACCCCCCAAAAAAACTCTCCTACAGTTATTTCAGCATCTGAAATGTGCAGAATATCATTTCTTTGGGTCAGTGACTCTCTATTGGGTGTGCACATGAGAGGCTGGTAAAAGCACCGAGACAGCTGGGCCCTGCTCTAGACCTACTGCGTTAGAATTTTCTAGTAGGTTCCTTGGAGACTCAGATACTCAGTCCTCGTTAAGAAACACTGCTCAAGGCTTTGAGCCCAGGTTCAGTGCAAGTGCTCCAAGCAAGCGTTACAAGGAATGCAGAATCTGCAGAGGTTTAGATGGGACAGTATATGGGGCTAGCATGTTCCTTTGCCCCCATCCACTTTCTAGACTTTTGGGAGCCCCAGTGGGGAAGAGGGGCCCAGGGGGGTTTAGAGCAAGAAAGACACACTCTTTGTAGGGCTGGAGCTGCCTGCCCTTGACCCTTGTGGAGGGTGGACAAAATGTGAGCCATGATATCCACCACTGGGCTGCTCCATGGGT